AAAAAAAAAAAAAAAAAAAAAAAGAAACCAAAGGCTATGCATCAGGACAATAGGAAAGATAGCTTGAGAGGACTGTGGGAATCAGCAAGACCCTGTACTTCATGGGCAAAAGGGTAAAGTCCTTTGCCTTCACTTGCAAAGTCCATTTTTTTAAAAAAAATTTTTTTGTTTGTCTTTTTGAGACAGGGGTTCTCAATATGCAGTTTAGGCTGGCCTTGAGCTCACTTTGTAGCCCAGGCTAGTCTTGAACTTGCAATGACTTTCCTGCCTCAGCCTCCTGAGTGCTGGGATTACAGGCATGTGCCACCACCCCCAGCTTGCAAAGTCCTTTGAAAGACTTTGCTTTGATAAGAGAGCCCCAAAGAGCCCTGACTGAGGAGGGCTGTCTAGGGAACTGGTTCCCCAGAATATGATTCACAATGTTCAACTGTCCAGGTACATAGAGGAGTTAACAGATAGGATCTGAAAAGCCCTGACTACTGCTCAAACTGGCAGCAGACCATGGTGTCATGTGGGTACTGCTGGTTTTATAGTCCTGGAGAACACAAGAGTTGTGGGGTAACTGGCTTCCACCCAGATTTCAGAAGGAGGCCTGGGAGGGAAGTGCATGGAGCTATGAGAGTGAAGACGAAAGTACAATGGAAAGCCCAGGATATTGGAGAGGCCAGGAACATGGAACATCTGATGGGGAAAGCTGCAGGCAGTGAACAGGGCCACCTCAAGACAGAAGCCATGAAGGCTGCAACTGGCAATGCTGTAGGGGTAGAGATGGCTAAGTCCTTTGGAGCTTGCATCTTATCACCACCTGGCACAGATGCTAGATATTTGAACTATAAGATTTAATGTTTTCCCTGCTGAGTTTCAGTGTTGCTTTGGTCCCATTTCTTCCTAGCCCCATATTTCTCTCTTTTAAAATGGAAATGTTTACTGCGTACCCTTGTATGTTGGAAGTGTTTATTTGCTTTTTGCTTTTTACAGGGGTTCATAGCTAAGAGTTTGCCTTTAGTCTCAGAAGAGACTTCGAATTTCCTAGAACTATTAAGATTTTGGCATCTCTTAGATATGGACTAAATGCATTTGGATAATGAAATGAACATGAATGTAAGGAGAGAATGTACCATCTCTCCTCTAAGCAGATAGGCTACATCATTTCTGAGAGATAAAAACCTAACTTAGGAAAGTAGAATTTACCACAACCTTGAATGGGTGATGCCACTTCACAAAAACAGAAACTTAGCAAAACAGAACTTGCTGG